ATAATTAAAATGGCAAAATTCCAAGACACAGAGAGAATCTTAAAGGCAGCAAGGGAGAAACAGGAAGTAACATACAAGGGAGCCCTGATAAGGTTAGTAGCTGACTTCTCAATGGAAACACTCTAAGGCAGAAAAGAATGGCAAGAAATATTCTTGTAACTAAGAATGGCAAGTAACCAAGGCTACTTTACCCAGCAAGGCTCTTAATCAAGATAGAAAGCCAAATAAGGATCTTCCCAGAGAAAACAAGTCTAAAAGAATACATCTCCTCCAAACCAGCTCTGCAAGAGATGCTAAAAGGACTGCTTTAAGGAAAGGAAGGAAAAAGAGAGAGGAACACAGGTACAAAAATGGCAATGAATAAATATGTCTGAATAATAACTTTCAACTTAAATGGATTTAATGCTCCAGTCAAAGGACAGAGAGTAGCTGAATGGATAAGAAAGCATGGCCCACACATATGCTGCTTACAAGAGATCCACCTCAGGACAAAAGACCTACATGGATTGAAAGTAAAGGGCTGGAAACAAATTTTCCAAACAAACGGAAAAAAGCAGGGGTACCAATACTCATATCAGACAAAATAGACTTCAAAAAAAAGGGCCATAAAGAGAGACCCAGAAGGTAGCTTCATAATACTCAAGAGAAGTATCCACCAAGAAGATATAAACATTGTAAATATATATGCACCTAAGATAGGAACACCCAAATACATAAAGAAAATCTTAGAGGACTTTAAGAAAGATATTGACAGCAACACAATTATAGTAGGGGATTTTAAAATCTCACTGTCAAAAATGAACAGATCTTCAAAACAAAATATCAACAAAGATATTGTGGCATTGAACAATACCCTAGATCAAATGGACTTAACTGATATATATAGAGCCCTTCGTCCCAAAGAAGCTAAATAAACGTTCTTTTCAAATGTACATGGAACATTTTCAAAGATAGGCAACATGAGAGTTCACACAACAAGCCTCAACAAATTCAAGAAAATTGAAATCATATCAAGCATTTTCTCTGACCACAAGGGACTGAACTAGAAACCAAACCCAAGGAAAAAAACCCAAAACACTCAAAATCATGGAGATTGAACAGCATGCTATTAAATGATGAATCGGTCAAGAATGAAATTAGGGAAGAAATCAAAGTTTCTGGAAACAAACAAAAATGAACTCACAACAACCCAAAACTTATGGGACATAGCAAAGGCAGTCCTGAGAGGGAAGTTCATACTGATACAGGCCTACCAAAAAATGTATAGAAACATTTCAAACTAACCCTAGGCCTACATGAACTTGAGGAACAACAAAGATAGCCCAGAGCAAGTAGAAGGAAGGAAATAACCTAGATCAGAGCAGCATTAAATGACATAGAGACTAAAAGCACAATTCTAAGGATGAATGAATCCAGGAGCTGGTTTTCTTTTCTTTTTTTTTTTTTTTAGACTTTATTTATTTATCTTTAGAGGGGAAGGGAAGGAAAGAGGGAAATATCAATGTATGGCTGCCTCTTCTGCATCCCATGCTGGGAATTGGCCTGCAACCCAGGCATGTGCCCTGACTGGGAATCGAACCACAATCCTCTGGTTCGCAGGCCTGTGCTCAATTCACTGAGCTACACCAGCCATGCCCCAGGAGCTGGTTTTTTTTGAAAAGATAAACAAAATCGGCAAGGCTTTAAACAGGCTCATCAAGAAAAAAAAGAGAAAGGACCCAAATAAACACAATCAGAAATGAAAGAGGAGGACAGCTAGATCAGGAGGGGAACCATAGAAATGGAGATCACATGGAGGGTTAGCAACAGGGGAGTGAGAGGAGAAGTGGGGAGAAGGTACAAAGAATAAGTAGCATAGAGGATAGGTAGAAAATAGACAGGGGGAGGGCAAGAGTAGTATGGGAAATATAGAATCTAAAGAACTTGTGACACATGGACATAAACTAAAGGGGGGGGAATGGTGGGAGAGAGGGTGTGCAGGGCGGAGGGGAATGAAGGGGGGAATGGGAGAACTGTAATGGCATAATCAATAAATATATTAAAAAGAAAAAACAACAAAAAGAAATGAAAGAGGAGAGATTACAACTGATACCACAGAAATACAATGGATTATAAGAAATTACTAGGAAGAACTGTATGCCAAGAAATTTGTAAACCTATGTGAAATGGACAAGTTCTAGAAAAATATAATCTTCCAAAATTCAGTGAAGAAGCAGAAAGCCTGAACATACCAGTAACAGCAGACGAAATTGATGCAGTAATCAAAAAACTCCCCAACACACAAAAGCCCTGGACCAGATGGTTTCACAGAGAATTCTACAAAGCATTTAAGGAAGAGTTAACCCCCTATCCTTCACAGACTATTCCAAAAAACCCAAAATGATGGAAGACTACTCCCAACTCTTTTTATGAAGCCAGCATCATCCTAATCCCAAAACCAGATAAAGACACAACAAAGAAAGAAAACTTCAGGCCAATATCGCTGCTGTACATAGACGCGAAAATCCTCAACAAAATATTGGCAAACCACATCCGGCAATACATTAAAAAGATCATACACCATGACCAAGTGGGATTCATCCCAGGGATGCAAGGGTGGTACAATACTTGCAAATCAAAAATGTAATAATCACATAAACAAAAGCAAAGACAAAAATCACATGATCATATGAATACATGCAGAAAAAGCATTTGATAAGGTACAGCACCCATTTATGATAAAAACACTCAGCAAAGGGGGAACAGAGGGAGCATTCCTCAACATAATAAAGGCCATATATGAGAGACTTACAGCCAACATCATATTTAATGGGCAAAAACTAAAATCTTTTCCACTAAGGTCAGGAACAAGACAAGGTTGTCCACTTTTACCACTTCTATTCAACATAGTATAGGAAGTTTTAGCCACAGCGATCAGACAAGAAAAGGAAATAAAAGGCATCCAAATCAGAAAGGAGGAAACAAAACTCATTGTTTGCAGACGACATGATAGTGTACACAGAAAATTCTCTAGACTCAGCCAAAAACCTGCTCGACCTAATAAATGAATTTAGCAAAACAGCAGGATACAAAGTCAATATCCAGAAATCAAAGGCATTTTGTATACCAACAATGAAACAGCAGAAGCAGAAATCAGGGGGAAAAAAATCCCATTTGATATAGCAAATATCAAATGGGATATTTTTCTTTGAAAAAGAAAAATAAAATATGTAGGAATAAACCTAACAAAGGCGGTAAAAGACCTGTACTCATAAAACTACACAACAGTGAAGAAATGATGGAAGACACAAACAAATGGAAACATATACCATGTTCATAGATCAGAAGAATTAACATCATTGAAATGTCCATACTACCCAAAGCAATTTACAGATTCAATGCAATACTTATTAAAGTACGAATGGCATATTTCATAGACAAAGGACACTTCAAAAATTTATATGGAACCATAAATGACTCTGAACAGCTCCTGCAATTTTGAGAAAGAAAAGTAGGAGGTATCACAATACCTGATACCAAATTATATTACAAGGCCACTATAATCACAACAGCCTGGTACTGGTATAAAAATAGGCACATAGACTAATGGAACAGAACAGAGAGCCCAGAAACAAACCCAAGTCTCTACAGTCAATATTTACAAAGAGGGCAGTAACATAAAATGGAGCAAAAATAGCCTCTTTAACAAATGGTGTTGGGAGAGCTGGACAGTTAGTTACATGCAAAAAAATGAAACTCAAGCACCAACTTACACCATACATAATAATAAACTCAAGATGGATGAAAGACTTAAATATAAGCTGTGACACCATTAAAGTCCTAGAGGAGAACATAGGCAGGAAAATCTCAGATATTTCATGCAGCAATATTTTCACTATGTCCCCTAGAGCAAGGGACACAAAGGAAAGAATAAACAAATGGGATCTCATCAAAATAAAAAGCTTCTGCACGGCTAAAGAAAACAGTATTAAAATAAAAAGAGAACCAACCGTATTGGAAAACATATTTGCCAATGATACCTCACACAAGGGTTTGATCTCCAAAATATACAAAGAACTCACACGACTCCACTCTAAGAAGACAAGCAACTCAATTAAAAAAATGGGCAAAGGACTTGAACAGACACTTCTCCAAGGAGGACATACAGAGGGTGAAAGATGAAACGATGCTCACTATCACTAGTTATCAGAGAAATGTAAACTAAAACCACAATGAGATACTACCTCACACTGGTCAGAATGATCATCATAAACAAAGCAACAAACAAAAGTGTTGGAGAGGTTATGGAGAAAAGGGGACCGTAGTGTACTGTTGCTGGGATTGCAGACTGGTACAACCACTATGGAAAACAGTATGGAATTTTCTAAGAAAACTAAAAATGGATCTGCCTTTTGATCCAGTGATTCCACTGCTAGGATTATATCCTAAGAACCCTGAAGCACCAATCCAAAAGAACCTCTGCACCCCAATGTTCTTAGCAGCACAATTTACAATAGCCAAGTGTTGGAAGCATCCTAGGTGCCCATCAATAAATGAATGGATCCAAAAACTATGGCACATTTACACAGTGGAATTCTATGCAGCAGAAAGAAAGAAGCTCCTACCCTTTGTGACAGCATGGATGGAAACAGAAAGCATTATGCTAAATGAAGTAAGGAAGTAAGCCAGGAGGTGAAAGATAAATACCATATGATCTCACCTTTAACAGGAAGCTAAACAACAAAACAAACAAGCAAAATATAACCAAAGACACTGAAATAGAGAACAGGCTGACAGTGACCAGAGGGGACAGGGGAGGGAATTTCAGGGGAAAAGGGGAAGGGTTTGCACAAAGATGTATATAGGACACATGGACAAAAGGAAGGGTGGGGTGGAAAGAGGAGGGAAGTGGGGAGAACTCGGGAGGTGGGCTGGGATGGGAATAAAAGACAGAAAGCTGTACTTGAACAACAATTAAAATGAAAAAAAGTTAAAAAAAGAAATAACACAAGATATTCAAGTGTTTTAAAATCAAAGGCCTTTAATTCAGTTTTCAGTAATGACCATAAATGCCTTCATAAAACCTCTTTTTCACTGAAAAGAGAAGGCACTATGCATTACATAACACCCTGAAAGCAGTGATTTCTTCTGATGCTGGTGGAGATAAACATTAAATTGCAGGTTGTAGAGGTTAAGAATGTCTCCTAAAAAATGGGCAGGAGTAGGATGGGAGATGGGGACAACTCTGAAAATCACCCAAAAATTCAGTTACCAGCTTCGCAGGTTCCCAGTGCAATTTTGAATTATTTTTACAAGCAATTTGAAATTAACAGATAAACCAGGTTAGGTATGTTAGGGTTTTCAACACTTGTTAGGTTTTAGTTAAATACAGTAAACATAAAGATATAATTAGATGTTAACTGGCATCCTTTGATACTTATTAGCTATGCTAAATAAACTTGAAATGATACATCCTATAGTGGTATAATTTAAAATATCCTTGATATGACACAAACAACTTTTCAATTCTAGTCACAAAGTGCATATAAATTGTGAGATTATTAAAATATACCTTTTGAAAAATAATAAGATGACCATTTATACCTAAATTCCCAGAAAGACATGAAATGCTTTAGCAAGTTAAAAGTAGTTGTCCCTTTTCCACAGGTTTCACAAAATAACTCATATGATCTAAGACAAATTATTTCTTTCAAATGCCATATTCTGTCTCTGACTTTGAGGTATGCTTCAAGAGGCTGTGTCTGTGAGAAAAGGGCACATTTGGGTTTAAGACCACAGTTACAAACACAAGGAGCCTTTCTTGAGTCAGGAGTTATAGTAACAGAAAAGGAAAGCTTCTGAAGCCATTTCTTTTACAAACACATACAACTAAATTTGGTTACTTGAAGGGTAATTCAAGAAGCAGCTATTTACATATGTGCTAATGTCGTGTGCGACTATTTTAAACAGTGGCTTCTGCAGGACACTCCTATTCAAACACAAACCAAACACCTTTGGTAGAGTGAACCAAACCACAATCTTCTATTTTTGGCAAGGTAGTGTAAACAAAACAAAACAGAAACAACAAAAAAATAGCTGTAACAGTGATTCAGGCAAAAGTTCCCATGTCAAACAACAGTAGGAAAAGTGTTTTGAGAAATATTAATTTCAGGGGGAAAAAACCCTACCAAACAAATAATGCTGAAAATCAACCTCATAATCACTCAAATGACTTTCATATAAAATGTTTATGAATGTCTTTAAAATAATAGTTCAGTTTTAAAAGTAGCTGATTATGAGCTTTATAATTAAATGTCTTTGAAAAACATCCAAGCTAATTAACTTATACAGGAGCTAATTAATAAAGGGTAGAATGAGATTTATTCTTCTATAATTAATATGAGATGCCTTCTTGCCTTTGGAGAAACTGATTAAGATTAAATTTGAAAATGGTATAAAAAATAATGAGAGGCCCTGGACAGGTAGCTTAGCTGGTTAGGGCATTGCTCTGATATGCCAAGGTTGTGCGTTCAATCCCCAGTCAGGGCACCAATGAATAAGCAACCTATAAGAAGCAACCAATGAATGGCATCAATAAGTGGAACAACAAATGGATTTCTTTCTTTCTTTCTCTCATTAATTAAAAAAAAAGAAATGAAACCTACATGACAATTGAAAAAAAACACCATTCCACTATTAATAAACATGATGGGAAGCAAGAGAAATACTGTTTTTTAGCAATTATTATGCAAAAGTATGCCTTACATAATTACATATCATAATCAAATACAGAAGAAGCTTCAAGACTAGCAGCTAGGTTTTGTGAAACATGTAGGACAACAGAAGGCACTACAAAAGCATTAATTACTTCTAACTACAGTCAGACAGTTCAGTCTCTTCCTTCTTAAGAAGATAGCCAGTGTGAACATTATTTTTATATCCCCCTGAGTTTAACATGATTGGGCAAAACAGCACCAATTTAAAAAAATATCTGCAATGCCAGCACTGCAGTTTGGAATCACTTATACTGATGGCCCCGCAGGTCTCTCATAAGAGCACTTTAGAACATGATTAAAAATATAGAAATGCCTTCAGATATCTATGTTTTAAAATAATGCACTAAAAACGTCAGTATAGCCTTTCCACCTTGTGGCTAACATTTGCAGCTATTTTCCACTCTAGGAGATTTCCTTTGTGAGTCCAGTAGAAATGTCAGTATGCTTCATGATGCACACACAATCCTTTTGGCTGGAAAATCCTGGCAGATATCACGTCATGCCTGTTTTGAGTAGTATGCCTTGTAGGTCCTCTGGCAATGCTAAGATAATTGCATCTATGTGTGTCCGTAACTTTTCCACAGTTTCAGGTTTCACAGGTAAATGCTCTCGATCAGCCTGCAACTACACAAGGAACATTTGAAAGCATTTAAATTATCCTCTGAGTCTGTATTAATACACTGTGTTTTCTAAATAAACATTTTTAATGGTCTAATGATTTGGAAACTTCAAACTTCAACCAGAATTTACAGAAAATGTAGAAAAGGAAAGAACATGCCATTCTAACAATATATTGTTTGAGCTCAATAAAAGACTTCTACATAAACTGATAATACTTAACACATACCATGTGGTATTAAATATAAGTGACAATGATTTTGTAAAGCTCATTACACTCCATGCAAATACCTTTAAAATAACATGGCATCATTATAATATGCTTGTGTGACCAAGTATTTTCAGTCAGATCTACCATCAATTGACCAATCTCAAGTCCTCTCATTTAAAAAGGTTACACCTGATATATCATGGACTGTCACCTGAAAAGTGAAGAAAATGTCTGCAAAGATCTGTGGCTGTTTTGGCTACATACCAGCTTACTTTTCAGCTTCAATACAAGGTCTACTGTTTCTACTTCTGTGTGTTTCTGGGTCCAGAGAAGCAAATCCTAGAAGAATAAACAAATCCTAAATCAGTTAAGTATCAAAATCATTTTCAAACCATTCTATTTCAATAGATAAAACTACTGAGAAGGACAGGAAGGAAAAAGAGAACAGGCATTTAACCCAGATATAGCATGACAGTACAAAAATAATTCTATATGTAATAGTCTAACAACATTAATTAGATAATTTTCAACATTAGCCACAACACTGTCGAATATTTGGCAGTAAAATAAAATATAAGAACTTCTTTTCTGAGGTAGCCCTTTTACATCCATCATGAAAAACAATACTGCAACTTAAAATACAATACTCACCCCTATCCCACTAAGCAGTGAGTACTCAAATTTATAAGAACATTGGCTAACAAACAAAGATAACTGTGGACATAAATATCACACTGAGTGTAAACTTTGCATCTTCACATAAGCTCTTCCTGGACTTATCTGTGATTGTCTTCATCATATTCCTTCTCTTAAAATCACAATCACCATGAATTTGTGATAGAAAGTAAACACTGAGGCTAGCACATCTCAAATGAAAATGAGAATGTCCTTTATATTTTCACTTAATTTAAAACAGTCTGGCAACATATTATAGAATATAAACAGTCAGTCCAAACACAGGAAAAAAACTGTTAGTAGCAACTGGAAGAGATTAATAAGGCATGCTGAAAAAATCTGGAGTTATACTGCTTGAATTTGAATCTTGACTCCACCCACTGGCATGCTGGAAAATATTTAACAACCAGAAAAGTCCCTGGTTTGTACCATTTGCCAATTTCTGTGGTGTGATACTCCTACTGTAGCTGATTTCAAACTACTAACCTGAGATCACTGAATGCTGAGTGGGGAAGAGATATACAGTCAGCTCTTATGAGCCAAGTGAAGTGGGCTCTAGCTTACTGTCAGTTACTTAGCAGTGATGTGATCTGAAGCTAGTAACTTAACTTATAAACTTCAGACTTCCCATAATGCAGATTGTAACACATCTACTTCAATGAGGTGGGTTACTTGAAATGTTGTGAAAATTAAAAGATATTATCCACATAGAGTACCTACACAGTCCTTGGCCTATAGCACATGATCTAGAAAAGTTAGCAATTACTATTTATAAAGCAGTAGATATGGATAACCTCCCAGCCTCTAAGGATAACTATCTTTTCTTTTTATATTATAGTTGTTAATATCACACAAATATGCTATGCTCTAACCTCTTCACAAAGAGCTTCTAGATGGAGCGCCTCCAATTTCTGGGTCATTTCCTTCCTCCGGGTCTTGAACCAACCATCAAAATTTGGGGATTTTAGAAAATGCCTATAAAAATAAATTTTAAAATAGCAAAGTTTGATTATTACTTACTTCCTCTCCTTAATATATTTCCTAATACTGAAGAACCAAGTGAAACAATGGAATTTTGAATAAAAGAATATAAGTTTAAGTCCAGTTTTTTTGTTTTGGTTTTTTAAAAATAAAGCTCTACAGATGGGTAAAAAAGAATATAAGGAAGACTAACCTGTAAAGTCCAATCCAATCACCTTTTATTCTAGAGGTCAACTGAGGTCCTGTTTTCTCAAGTGTTTTCATAAATTCTTCTGGAAAGAATGGTCTTAACTGAGGTGGACTCTAGAAAAAAAGAACATACTATATTTAAAATCAGAAATGAATATGTTCACAAATTATTATAGTTAGAGGACTCAAACAGGAATTTAACTGAATATATTTATACCTTCCATGGAGAAATACATTTCTGCAAAGGCATCAAACTTGCCACATATCTTTCCTAAAACCAAGAAAATAAAGTTAATTAAATTAGATGTTCTTACTCAGAGTCTTCTAAGACACTTAAATAGGCCTACTTAAAGGAAATGGGTTTCCAAGTTTTTCATCATATGGTCTTTCAATGGACATCAACAACACTATCACTCTTCACAATGATAAAGCTAAGTTCAGACTGAATTAACAAGTCAGACTTTCAATAAAAATGTAATTAAATCTTGGCTAACCCAAATGACTACACATTCTTAAGGATAATAAGTATATTGAATAACCATGTTTCAGAAAATACACTCAAGATTTAAAATGTATAATCTCTTTTAATCCTTGCAACCATCCTATGTGGCAGGTATTAATGGGGACCTAAGGTTTCAAAAGGCTAATAATTAATAAGTACCTTGCTCAAGGCCACACAGTTTAAACTTGAATTCAGGTCTACCTGACTTCAGCCCACACACTTGAGAGCTACAGAAAAGTTCATTTATGTAAACAAATTTTAATGGAATAAAACAAACTGACATCCATAGACCAAGAAAGAGTGTTTCTTCCAAAAATATAATAGCAAAGATCTCCAGGTTAGCCCCACATAGTACTCACAGATAGATTACTTTACATTAATAGCTACATGGAATCTCTCTCTATCCAGTCTACACAGTAGGACATCATGATTCTGTGAGGACATGATGAGCTAATCAGCCATAGGACATGCCTGATTCTGTGAGGCTTTTACTTAGTATTTTTAATGATTTCCAATGAATTTGATGGAATAACCACATCATTCAATTATATATCCCATAAATACTTACTGAGTGCTACCATATAACAAACTGAGAAAAAGATAATAGATAAGACCCCTGTCATCATGGAGCTACAGATTATGATACAAATTAGAGCTACAGTTATGATATCAAATTGTGCTCAATAAAATAAAATCAGAGAAAGAAGCTACAGAATAATCTATTAAGGTGCAAAATGCAACAAATATGTAACATTTTACTGCAATTATTTAATTTAAGATATTCACAACAACCTGAAAGGTATTTAGGAAAAAGTGGAATTAGCTACATTTTACAGATAAAGAAATTAAGGGTGAGAAAAAGAAAGTGACTTCCCAAAGTTACACAGTTAATACAAGAAGAGTCCAGGCCTTTTGCAAAGGACTCTATTTTTTTTAATCAACAAGCACATGAGCAGACAAAACATACATGTTAAGATAAGGTTTTGGTGGATGGGAAAAACATTCATATAACCCTCAACAAATCACTAAATTAAGTAAATGTATGTTCACTTACTAATGGTATGATGAAGCTTTGTGTCAGTTCCAAGAAATAGCGTCTCAGAATAACACTCTGAGCCTCAGAAGGACGTTTCTGTTGTACACCCTTAAAAGAGGAAACAATAAGAACCTATGTTCTAGTGTTGGAGAATATAAAACAATGGATAATTTTAAAAATTCAACTGATATAATAATTTGTATATATATGTATTACTTCATATAAAACAAGCCCTAGAACTTCATCTGAAAGTAACTTAATCTGAAATTCATTACGCAACATACTGTGGAAAAAATTATTAAAGAAAAACATAAAACACTCATCCCATACTTAAAAATATCAGTTCACAATGAAGACTGTCTTTATTTCATATTTGCTACATTAATACTGTTTACATTTCTAAAAATGCTACCTAGCTATCCCCTACTATTACATGCTAAGTGACTCTGTGCAAAAGTCCACCTTTTCACTGTAACTTCCAAGTATCTAGGAAGATTGACACTAGTTTGCAGCTGCAGCTCCCAATTTTAAGCCCTTAATTGCTGCTACTATAGTCTCCTGATTTTTATGAAGCTTTGGTTCAAAACAGAGACCTCATGTCACATCATTATAAATAAAGCACACATTGCCTAATTGGATATGGCAAACCTAAATAAGAAAATTTAAATTAGTAATATGAGCAAATAATCACCTTCTGTAATTGTTTTATGATCTCTTCATCTCTATTTAGATATGGCTTGTAAGAAGTATAAACTCCTAGGAAGTAAAGAAAACAAGGTAAAAAGTTTTTGTTTTTTACCAAGCACCCATATATGTATAGATTTTAAAATAAATAAAAGTCAATACCAGGTTTAGAATCCAGAGTCTTTAAGTTCTTCAATTTTTTCACTTTAACCTGCTTAGGAATTTCTCCTGAAGGAAACATCAGAAAGATTCTTAGAATTATTCAAATTTCACATCACAGAACTAGACTTTTTTAAGATTAATAATCCACTGACTATTTACTATTTAGTCAGGAATATTATAGCTAATGTATCCTTCCTAATATCAATTAATGTTCAAAAGCTTATGACTGGTACTTTTAGAAAAGATAAAGGGAATACTGGAATATTACAGTATAACAGAAGCAATATGTATAAATTATATAAAAATGGGTACTTGATCCTTCATTAATATCTATCATTAATTAAAATTTTCCCTTATTACTCAACCTATAATTTAAGATATTTGTGCCAAAATCATAATAATGAAAATATATGTAGCAATATAAAGAAAATGCCCTCTAAGAGTAAATAGAATTAAAAGCAATTACTAAATTAGAATGCAGATATAATATTCAATGAGTTTTTTCTGACACCTCCCAAAATTCTGCTTTTGCATTAGAAACTTACACTGCCACCAGGTGGTGACAGTGTATGCAGCGACCACAGGTCTGATTCACAGGTGGACAGGTCTCCTGAGCAGGGCTGCTGTGAACAACTCCTGTACAATATGTAGTGCTTCTAGTCTTAAGGTATGAAGACACTACAGTCAAAACCAGCCTAACTAGCAGAAAAATACCTCAAGTTAAACACTTAAAGTGCCACACATACACAAAATATAACAGGCTATCTTTTTCTTTTCCTTTCTCTTTCCCTTCCCCTCCCTTGGTCCTAGGTCTTTTAAATAGTAACGTAACCTGCCTGAGGAGATTTCTCAGAGCAGCAAGAATGTTAGCTGGCAAGATATAACAAGAAAAAAGCCTGCAGATCGATATTCCCCATGGATACAGAGGAGAAAACCCTCAAAAATAATATTAACGAATCAAATCCAGAAACACAAAAAAGAATCATACCCCATGACCAAACAGGATTTAAATGAGTAATGTAAGGTTGGTTTAATGTTTAACATCCAAAAATCAATTAATACAATATAACATGTTAACAAGACAAAACCACATCATGATTTCCACAGATACAGAAAAAATGTTTAGCAAAATTCAACACTAATTCATGATAATTACTCTCAACAAACTAGTAACAGAAAGGCACTTCCTCAACCTGATTAAAGGACATTTATGAAAAACTCACATCTAACATCATGATTAGACTTGCATATTGAAAACTATAAAACATTGCTGAGAAAAATTAAAGAAGATCTGAAAAACTAATAAATATTCCAAGTTCCCAGATTGGAAGAATCAGTATTTTTCAAATGGAAATTCTCTCCCAAATTGATTACATATTCAACACAATCCCTATCAACATCCAAGCTGCCTTTCTTGCATGACAGTGATCTTAGAATGTATATGGAATGCAAAAGACTAAGAATGGCCAAAACAATTTTAGGGAAAAAGAAAGGTAAAAAGTATTACACAGACTTCCAGTCAGAATAGCAGCGTAGGCAGATATAGCTCACCTCTTTGCACAACCACATCAAAATTACAACTAAAATATAGAACCACCATCACTCAGACCATCAGAAGTCAAGTTGAATGGAAGTCTGGCAAACTATAGAATTAATGAAACCACATCCATCCAGACTAGTGGGAGGGGTGCAGACAAGGAACAGGCTGGTCCCTTACCCACATGTGATAGATAAAAAATTGGGGAGTGGTATCTTTGGATAGAGGAGTCTCAGCTCCACACAGACCCCAGGCCCAGGGTTCCAGTGCCAGGAAGACAAGTCCCCACAACTTCTGGCTGTAAAAACCAGTGGGACTGAGTTGGTGGAAACTTCTGGAGCCCCAAGCAGTCCTCTTAAAGAGCCCACACACGGACTCACCTACTCAGACTCACTCCCTCTGGGCTCTAGCACCAGAGTAGCATCTTGAAAGGTACCAGTGATATACAGGGAGAAACTGAAGTGTCTGGCATCAAGGGAAGCAGAGGCCCTTGTCCCTTTTCTAAACCCTCCCTCCACAGAGCTGGCAAATAGGTGCCATATCTGAGAATCCATCCACCTGGCTAACTCTGACCAGCCTTATAGATCCCCAGGGACTCCACCCCACCCCACCCAAGCTGTTTTTCCATATGAATAGCTGGTCTAATATCAAACTTCACAACTTCCTAAATCCTACCAAACAAGCAACAGCTGGCCTCAGTGAGCCCCAGGTACTGCACTAGAAGCAGCCAGCCTAGATTCACAGCTTGGCTTTACTTGGGAATCTCCAAGCCCAGCATAAGTAGCAGTCTCACCTTAGACTGCTTTATAGCTCAGGCAGGTGGACTGGGCAAAACATAGGTGAGGGCTGAATTTTGCCTGCATCACCTGGGAAACCCCAGGGCCAGTGCACCCAGTGGACAACTACAGACCATGTCAGAGCACCACCATCATGCCCCTTGCACACCTGATCCTCCACGGAGGGTGGAGGTGGTAGTCAGTGGTCACAGCCAGTCCTGCAGCTGACTGGCTTGGGTAAATCCTTCCCATTAACCTGCCAACAGCAACCAAGGCTCTACTATAAGAGGAGGATGTACTCAGCCTACACAAAGGGTGCACCTCCATTACCTAGCTTGGGTAATAGGAGAGGTGGTGCCACTGCACCCTACAGGATACCTACTATATTAGGCCACACTATCCAGACAGAGTCAAAGCAGCTCTACCTAATACATAGAAACAAACATGGGGCGACTGCCAAAATGAGGAGACAAAGAAACATGGCCCAAATGAAAGAACATATCAAAACAGAGAAAGAGCTAAATGAAATAGAGATAAGCAATCTATCAGATGCAGAGTTCAAAACACTGGTTATAAGGATGCTCAAGGAACTTAGTGAGAACCTCAACAGCATAAAAAAGATCCAATCAGAAATGGAGGATGTGTTAATTGGAATAAAGCACAACAGTAGAGTGGATGAAGCTGAGATTCAAATCAACGATATGGAACCTCAGTAAGCAAAAAACAACCACTCAGCCCTGGCTGTTATAGCTCAGTGGATTGAGTGCGGGCCTGTGAACCAAAGGATTGCTGTTTGATTTGCAGTCAGGGCACATGCCTGGGTTGCAGGCTAATTCCCAGCAGGGAATGCAAGAGAGGCAACCATACAGTGATATACCTCTCCCTCTCTCCTTCCATTCCCCTGTAAAGATAAATAAATAAAATATTTTTAAAAACCACAAAATACTCAGAACAACAAGAAGAAAAAAGAATCCCCCCAAATGAGAATAGTACAAGCAGCCTTTGGGATAGCTTCAGGAGATCCAACATTCACATCATAGAGGTGCCAGAAAGAGATGAGAAAGACCAAGAAATTGAAAATCTACTTGAAAAAATAATAAAAGAAAACTTCCCTAATTTGGTGAAGGAAATAGATGTGAAAGTCCAGGAAGCACAGAGAGTGACAAACAAGATGGACATAAACAAGTCCACACCAAGACATATCATAATTAAAATGTCAAAAGTTAAAGATTGAGAGAATCTTAAAAGCAGCAAGAGAAAATAAGTTAGTTACCTATAGGGGAGTTGCCCTAAGACTGTCAGTTGATTTCTCAAAAGAAACTTTGCAGGTTAGAAGGGATTGGCAAAAAATATTCAAAGTCATGAAGAGCAGGGCCCTACAGCCAAGACTGCTCTACACAGCAAAGCCATCATTTAGAATGGAAGTACTGAAGGAGCTCATTATCACCAAACCATTAGTATATGAAATGTTAAAGGGACTTATTTAAGAAAAAGAAGAAAATCAAAACCATGAACAATAAAATGGCAAAAAGTAAAAATCTATCAACAGTTGAGTCTAAAAAACAAACTAACCAAACAAGAACAACACAGACAGAATCCATGGATACAAAGAACATTTTGTTGGTTACCAGATGGGAGGGGGTATGGGGGAATGGGTGAAGAGGTGAGGGGATTAAGAAGTACAAGTAGGTAGTTACAAAATAGCCATGGGGATGTAAAGTACAGTACAAGAAATGGAGTAACCAAAGACCTTATACGGATGACCCAGGGACATAACCAATGGTGAAAGGATGGCCTGAGGGAGTAGGGTCTGCTGCGTGGAAAGTGGCCAAAGGAGGGTAAAATCAGGACAACTGTCTAGCATAATGAATAAAATATAATTAAAAATTGTTTAAAAATTGTATCACTTCCAGATTTCAAAACTTAAGACACTGTATTGCTGTTAAGATAAGATATATAAGTCAATGCAACAGAAACAAGAGTTCAGAAATAAACCCTTATATTCATGGCCAATTGATTTTCCACAAAGGTACCAATGTTAGTCAATGGAAAAAGGATAGTCTTTTCAACAAATGGTGCTAGGGCTGGATATCATCATGCAAAAATAATGAGTTTAGACATTTAAACCACATTATAACAAAAAATAACTCAGTGATTCACAGCCCTAAATGTAAGTGCTGACACAATAAAACTTTTAGGAGAAAACATAGGAGAAAATCTTGGTAACACTGGGTAGGCAATGAATTCTTAGATACAGGACCAAAAGGCTTCTCCACAAAAGAAAAATATTGATCAGCTAGACTTACCAAATATTAAACACATTTTTGTGGTTACGAGAGGAAGAGGTAAGCGTTGGGGGAATTGGATAAAGGTGGTCAAAAGGTACAAACTTTCAGTAATAAGATAAAATAATTACTGGGGATGTCATATACAACATGATGACTACAGTTAACACTGCTATATGGCATATTTAAAAGTTCTTAAGAGTGTAACTCCTAAGAGTTCACATCACAAGAAAATAAAACCCTTTTCTTTCCTTTTAACATCTGTATGAGATGATAGATGTTAACTAAACTAGTGGTAATCTTTCACCATACAAGTAAGTCAGGTCATTATGCTATATACCTTAAACTTATATAATGCTGTTTCTCAATTATATCTCAATAAAAGAGGAAAAAGTACACCATTTGAAATACACCATTAAGAAAACAAAAAGAGAAGACACATATTGTGAGAAAATATCTGCAAGTCATATATCTGGAAACAGACTCGTGTCCAAAACACTTAAAGATCTCTTACAACTAAGACAGTAATCCAATTTAAAATGAGCATAAGATTTAAATCAACATTTTATCAAAGAAGATATATGAATGACTAATAAGTAGATGAAAAGATACTCAACATCATTAGTCACTAGGGAAGCACAAACCCACTAAATGCTACAATGAGAAAGATAGACAATATTAAATATTAGCAAGGATGTGAAGAAATAAAGACCATCATACACTGCTGGTAAGAGTCTAAAATGATGGGCCACTTTAGAAAATAGTTTGGCGTTTCCTAAAAAGTTAAACAGGTTTATCAATTTATGTTACTTTACCAATTTTATGTAAAAGTTCCTCTACTTACATCCCCAACAATAAGCCTTTTTTTCCACTGGAAAAAGGCAATATATACTAAACTATTAGTATACTAACTATATTACAATTAACCAAAGAGTCTATATTAATAGGATAAAACCATGCATTAAAGTAAATGTCAAGATTAAATTCAGATTTAAAAAATTTTTCATATCTTCTTTTAGCTAAGACTCTGGTGACTGCTGTGCTCTCAATTATCATTAATAGACAGGACACCGGTGAGACGGCAGGAGACCATGACATTTACAGAGAGCCATGAGTCAGGCACTGTGTTTATCTAGTCTTTGAGGCTTAAGGAGGTTGTTCTACCTAAGATCACACAGATCTGACTGCCAGAGTGAAATCTTATGCTCTGTCCTCTCTTTCATAAGGCATCTAAGAATTTCAGTTTAAAATTGAGTCTAATATTTATAAATAATATGATTTAAAATGTTATTCTCTGACTCTAGTAATAATAATTTAGATTTATGTATATACTAGAAGGGATAGCCTACAAAATAATTATTATTAAATAATGTTTTAAATATACCCGTATATACCAAAAGGGTTTTTTAAAAGATTTTATTTATTTTCAGAGAAAGGGGAAGGAAAGGAGAAAGAGTGGGAGAGAAACATCGATCAGTTGCCTCTCTCACACCTCCAAACTGGGTACACCTGTCCTGCAACCTAGGCATGTGCCCTGACTGGGAATCGAACCAGTGACTTTTCGGTTTGCAGACCAGCACTCAACCCACTGTGCCACAACCACCATGGCAAGAAAAGATTTCCAAGTATCACATCATAAAGTTATTTTAAAATATTTTCAAAATCTCAAGTCTCAACTATTTTGATGGAAAATTCATTGAAATTTCTAGTAAGAAATATCAGAGGTACCATTAAATTGTCATCTAAGTTAACAAAACTTCTAACCTCAGAATTCATTTATTCATTTATTTAAACAGTTATCATAGCTCTTTCTGCCATCTTGGAGTCTGTGGAGACATGCTGGGACCAAAACTTCTAAAATGACAAATATGTCTAGAAGGCTGTGGTTCAAAGCTATTATTGCTGGCTACAGGTGAGCTCTCCAGAACCAGAGTGAGCACAGGGCTGTTCTTAAACCCAGAGTGTTTACGTTCAGAATGAAACAATTCTATCTAGGCAGATGTGCTGATGTGTATGAAAGCAATGAACATCAGAGTGACTCTTGGTAGCAAACTGAGTAACCTGGGGAAAGGTAACTTGTGCTCATGGAAATAGTGGCACAGTTCATGCCAACTCAGAAGCAATCTTCTTGCTAAAGCCATTGGACACAAAATCCACGTAGTACTGTACTCCTAGAGAATTTAAACTTACTGAAAAGTGGATTTATACTCTTGTTAAAAAAATAAGTTACCAAGAGCAGGCACATTATCTTATTTACACCAGGAAAGCACAACCTTTTGACTAGTTCTTTAATCAGTACCAATACTACAGAAGTGTATATTACCTATTTTGATACCTAATCAAACATCTTACACCAAATTGAATATTTTGAGCTTCTATAACGTTTTACTCAAGCAGTGTTAGAAATCCCTTTTTAATTGAGTTACCTGTATATAAAAAGTAGCTCAAATTTTTTAGGTTTCACTTTGCTATAATTCATTCCATGTTTATAACACTGTAAGTACATTTTTTGACAGAAGGAACAATGGGTTCCACGTGTATATTTTAGTTGAACTTAGGCTCTTTTACAAAGGCCTTTATTCAGGCTGCCTCAAGAAGGTTGCCCTCAACATAAAAAGTAACTAAAAAATAAAAACAAAGGGGAAGAAATAAACCTGCTCAGCAACATTACACACACAAAAAAGCAGAACACTGAATTTATACTTTACCTGCTGGTTTAAGGTCTCCTATTCGAATAATGTGTGGCCAGTGCTGAAGTGTTTTTGCAAAAAAGGGGTTGGTTACTCCTAATATGACTGAAGGCCTACATAAAAAATAAAATATTATTAAATTTTAGAAAGTGAGAAAAAGATGAACATTCCATCAGTGAAGAATAGTTTATCATTTCTTCTGAGTGAATAATAAACAGATTATCTTTTCCTTCATCCAATGTATTACATATGAACTACATGTGAGATACCATGTTTAGCACTGGGCATATAAAAATGAAAAGACATAGTCTTTTTAAAACTACGGAGTTAAAAGGATATATATACTAAATTATGATGCTAGAAATCATAAGACAGTGAAGGTGGTATAAAATGTACAATAATTACAAAGGAGACACTATGTCTACTGGGGATTAAAGGATGACCTCCTCAAATAGATGACATTCGTACAAAGATATGAAAGATGAATAGGAGGTCTCTGCCAAGTGGATAAGGATGGTAAAGGTGATGCAAGAGAATGAAGAGTATGTGCAAAGCAATGCAGTGAGATCGTGATCTGTTTGTAGAACTACGGATAGTTCAGCATTCCTAAAGCACAAAGCTGGAAAGATAAATAGTCAGAAATAAAAATAATTGGGCAGATGCTGACCAGACACTAAGTCCAAGTTAATATGCTGAGAAGTTTAAATGTTATCTGGCAGGCAAATGAAAGCTTCTAGAGAACTGAGTAGAGGAATGCCATGTGAATGAAAATATACCCATTAGAAAGGTTACTCTGGGGAATATTCAGAAGATACCCTACAAGGAAGGGAAGAGGTTTGAGAAAAAGCAACAGCAAATATGATAAAAAGACAGTAGGACTGGGAAGAGTTTTGGAAAGAAAATAACATGTTATAAGAGCTATTTTAGGATACTGAATTGACACAATTTGGTAAAACAATGTGCACCATATCAAGAAGAAATATATGACAATTTAGGTTTTGAGAGCTAAACTAAAACTTGTATTGTTCATGAAAATGGTAAGAGGCCTGGGGTTTTTGAAGAAAAAGAGAAACAGAATTCAGTTTAAACGTGTTTTTAGTTGCCATTAAGATGTCCAGGTAGCAACGTAGTTAAAAATAAATTAAACCTGGATGTACAGACCTGCACCTTATACAGATCTTGGCTGGGAACATAAACTTCAGTCATCAGAATAAAGGTTTTAACAGAAGCTGTGGGTACAGATAAGATTGTACAGAAAAAATCATCAGTCTGAAATCAGAACCCAGAACACAACATGGAGAACACCAACATCTAAGGGGCTACCAAAGAAAGAAAAGACTGCACAGGAGAATGAGATGCGCCACCAGACAGCCAGGTGAGAGTGGTAGCAGGGTTAAAAATATTTTCAAGGTCAACATCTTAAATGTTACAAGAAAGGGAAAGCAGAAAAAATGGGGCACTAATATATCCACTGGATCAAGCAGGGAGATAGGAATTGCTGACTTTGGCAAGAACAACTTCAGTAGAAATGGAGAAATCAACCTGCAATGGACTGAGAAGCAACCAGGAAATTGAGAAATGGTTATTTTTATTCTGTTACTCTAGACACATACCTATGAAAGAAGGTGAGTAATATAGCAGGAGCTAAAAGGGGAAGGGTAAGGTAATCTTCCCCTATTTATAAACTAGGAAGAATTTTCATGTTTACATGCAGATTCAATGAAGAGAAAGAAAAAGAAGTTACAGAGCAAGAAGAGATAACTGATGCCATTAGACGTCCTGAAGTATTAAAGGAAGAACCGAAAGTACGGTTATTAATGATAATACAGCTCCCACTAATAAATCAAGGAAAAATAAGATACCGACTCTTGAAATGTGAGCCAGCAGTTCCTTAAACCTTCCTCAATAAAATCAATCTGCCAAAAAGTTCAAAATTTAAACTTTTAAATTATTGTCAAAAATTACTCTACATAATTTGGTTATAAAGGTTATAACTGCTTGATAAAAGCTACTTTGTTTACTTACGGGGCTTGAGTACGGGTAGTATATTCTTTGAATTCACTATCATGAATAGTGAAATAAGGTCGGAAATCACTGAAGTACTTCAATGGAGAAATACAGCTGTGGAGCAAGAAGAATATATAAAACAAAGGACACAAAATTAAAGGCCATGCTCAATAACTATAAAATATCCATATACACAGTATACCCCCAATAGGAAAATTTATCTGCTTCAATAAATGGTAAACTCATTTCAGAAAACTAGAAAGCAAATGGAAATACATAATGTGAAATGGCATACTAAAAGAACACTGGACTTGGGGCAGAAGATGGGATGAAATTTTGGTTCATTGACTAGTTTTATGCCTTTCACTAGACACTGACCATTCATGCAACTAATATTTATCAGGTACCAACTTCATGTTAAGTCAGCAATTTTCAACCATTTTCATCTCATGGCCCACATAAACTAATAATTAAAATCCTGCAGCACACTAAAAAATGTATTATATTGGGTTGGCCAAAAAGTTCATTTGGTTCCCATAAGATGGCTCTAGTAGTATTTAGTTGTCTTTAAGCTCATTCAGAACAATTTTTTTAGACTGTATCATGACAGGGGTCATATCAGCATGCATTTAAAAACAAACATCAAAACTGGTGAATTTTTGTGTAGCCATTGTAATACTGAAGATGGTAGAAAATACACAATGGTTCTGGCATATTATGCTTTATTATTTCAAGAAAGGTAAAAATGCAACTGAAATGCATAAAAAGATTTGTGTAGTGTATGGAGAAGGTGCTGTGACTGATCAAATGTGTTACAAGTGTTTTTGCAAAGTTTTGTGCTGGAGATTTCTCTCTGGATGATGCTCCACAGTCGGGTAGACCAGTTGAAGTTGATAGCGATTAAATCAAGAGTTCTCAATTGTTCTCATTAATTGAGAACAATCGACGTTATCCATGTGGGAGATAGCCAACATACTCAATATCCAAATCAATAAAGTTATTTGTGAAAATGAAAAATGTCTTTTATTTTACAGAAAAAAAACATATAGACTTTTTGGCCAACTCAATATTTTTTACCGATCTGACAAAAAAGAATTATTTTTTTTCAAATTGTAAGAGAAAGTTTTTTTAGGAAGTTATAGAGGTAACAGAAGAGAGCCCCCTGGGCTGCACAAGCACAGGAAATAAGTTACAGAAGCGAAAGAAGAGCCCATGGAGTTTAAGGAGAGGAAAAGGCAACAGTAACATGTGTCTGGGGGGGAGAAGAGGGGGAAAGGAAAGGCGCTGGTATGTTCCTGAGGAGAGCGCTGGCATCATTTAGATTTGTTCACACCTCATGACTCCTGTTGTATTGGCTGTTGTAATTTTTAATAAAAAATCTAAGGGAAAAGAGGTCAGTGTCCTCAACTAAATCGTCAGGTATTGTATGATTTTAGAATTCTTGCAGCACATCAGTTGAAAAATCACAGGTGTAAGTAAATGAATGTGTTTGTTGTGCAAGAAAACAAGAACATGGTTCCAGCCCTCATTAAGCCTGAATTAATTTTCTCATCCATAAATCTGTGCTATAGTGAACACTACCTTCTTACAAGGCTGTTGTGTGGATAAATGCAATAAATGCACAAACATGTAACAAATGGGGAAGTGCTACAAGTATCACCATCATGAACCAAATATATATATACTCACTTAACAAGTGCCAATACAGTCTCTGAAGACTCTGAAGGTGATGGTGCCATGACCACAAGGGGCTCCCCCAACAGCACCAGCTCCCAAAGCATCTGACTATGAAGGAAAACTGGGCAGAAGCATCTGAAAGGTGTTAACACAGTAAAAATACTGTTATTTAACCAACTTAAGTTCTTACATAATCATCCTAAAAACTTCACACTGATATAAATTTTCCAGCTATTTGTACCTTGACCTGGTGTACAAATTCATATGAAATACGGTGATGCTTAGTTTAAAAGCAAATACTTTCTATATTAAAAAATGATGAAAACATATCACAAGTGGGATTTCTAATACAACACACAATGATTTCCTAGACAGATCCTCTTCATAGAGAAATGCTGCGTATTTTTATAGCAACCCTGGAATTAGGTGGAAGCCTATCAGGATAAAACTCTGGCATTTGAATTAACCTCAGACATTTGGTAACTTTTACTTATTTAGTAATTTCTTCCTGATAGGGTAATAATTTTTCATAGTAGCTTAGGGGAAAATACTTATCTACTTATAAAAATCATAACCAGTTAACCTAGTTGAAAACACCTTTTTAAAAAAAAAGAAAAAGAATGACATTTAAGTGCAAAAATATGCAACAAATCTATGAGATGGAAGTTAGAAAAGTTAATTTTAACTATTCAAAGAAAAGAAGACAAATGTGAAAGAAGAGCAAAAAAAAAAAGAGAGTATTAAATAGTTCAAGGATAAGGCAAAAGAACTCTTTTTTTCTCTTTCCTTCCTAAACAATTCAATCCTAAAGCACAGCACCGTTCATGGTAGGAATATCTGGCAGGAGGGAAAGAGAGACATGTTGGTTGGCCCAGAGAGGGAGAGTCAGGGCTTATCTGAGATAAGGTAGACATCCAGGTAGAGGGGGTGGCTGCTGGAATCCAAACATGATGAGGTATAAATGTATGAAGGTGATCTGGTTTGGGTGAGAGTCCAGGAAGTGTGAGGGACTTGAAGGGGCAGTGTGATACGGAAGCAGAGCCATAAGAGGTTGAGGAGGTTATTAATAGTGGGGTGTCAGGGCAGGGAAATGAGGGTGTCCACATGGAGAAATGGCCTGGAGAGAGGTGCATAATACGATACTATGGTAAGTAGGATAAGGAGGGCATCCATATGAGCATTGGCCGGGCATTGGAAGTCAGAGTACAAGCAGTGTGAGAGGATGGGTTCCAGATGGAGAGGTGGCCTAGTGTGGGATATGGAACCCTGGCTTGGGTAGGAGTGTAACCATGTGGAGGTCAATGTGGCTTGGATCAGAGCCTGAGCAGGATAAAGAGGGTGTCCATGAAGGGCAGCTGGGTCTAGAGTGTCAGACAAAGCCCAAGAGAGATAAGAAAGGCATTTTCACAGAAGAGGGCTGCAGCAGAGAGGGAGATTAGTTACTAACAGAACTGATCAAATAATTAAGTTAAGAATGACAGGTAGCCCTGGCTGGTGTAGCTCAGTGGATTGAGCACAATCCTGTGAAGCAAAGGGTTTCTGGTTCGATTCCCAGTCAGGGCACATGCCTGGGTTGCGGGCCAGGTCCCCAGTAGGGGATACATGAGAGGCAACCACACATTGATGTTTCTCTCCCACTCTTTCTCCTTCCCTTCCCCTTTCTCTAAAAAATAAATAAATTAAAAAAAAGGAGTGACAGGCTGTAGTTACTCAAAGAAAAGAAATATACATATGGAAAGGAAGAAAACTAGAGTGAACCCTGTCATGTTGGATTGGGATGGGGGGTATTAGTGTGACTGTATTGTTTTCAATATATATTGAAATAGACATAAATATGTGTGTAAAGATGCACATAAATGTGAATATACATGTATGCATGCATTATACACACATATAATATATATATGTGTGTGTATATATATATATATATATATATATGTATATATATATATATAAAATAATATTCCTTAGCTCTGGTCACTAAGATGGCCTAAAACCAATGATATCCAATAGCAATGAGCACAACTAGTGACCAGCTCTTGGCTTCTAAGTCTCCACTGGGGAAAAAAAAAAAAGCCAAAGCTCTTTGGAGAAATAGCTGATTCTGACAATGGGCAAGAGAAAATAAAAGACAATCTTGGAACCCAAAAGAACTTAAAATAAATGTTCACAGAAAGACATAAGTTCATAGTAGCATTATACATTATAGCCAAAATATAAGAAACCATCCAAATGTCCTTTGATGAATTAATGAATAACAAAATGTGATATATATCCATACAATGGAAAATTATTTGACCACAAAAAGAATGAAGTAATAATTCATGGTTCTGTATGAATAAACCATGAAAACAATAAAAAAGAAGGTAGAGGCCAAAAGCTACATGTTGTATGACTGTATTTATAAGAATTGTCCAGAATAGGCAAATCCATAGAGACAGGAAGTAGATCAGTGACTACCAGAGGCTGGGAAACAGAGAATGGGGGGTAAGTACTAATATGGGTACAGGGTTACTTTTTGAAGTGATGAAAATGTCCTGGAACTAAATAGTAGTGATAGTCACATAACTTTGTGATAATTAAAAGCCACCAAATTATATACTTTAAAAGAGTAAGTATTATAATATGTGAATTATATATCAATTTTTAATTTAAAAAATAAGCCTGAAGCATATTAAACCAGAAAGCAAGAAAGTGTTTTTAAAAATGACAAGAATATGGCAGAAAAAGAGAGACCGGGTTGAAATGGTTCTCACTGGTCAACGTGGGGATAATCTGAAGATGAAAATAGATGACAACTATGGATTTTAATAACCAGTTGAATAAAAACAGGAAACAGAAAGTCCATACAGATACACATAAACAGTGTAATGTTTTAAAATATTTCTACAAATTTACTGACACTCCTTTTAAAACACAGAGCCTAATTCTCCCCTTCTTAGGTATGGGCTGAATTAGTGGCTCACAGGTAATGAACAGAATAAGGTAAAGTGACAATGTACAACTTTGAAGGCTAGGTCGTAAGAGTCATTGTGGCTTCAGCCTTCTTTAGGCCATGTGCTGATGTGAGAACATTCAAGCAGCCCTATGCAGAGGCACACATGGCTAGGAATGAGGCCTCCTGCCAATAGCAAGAAGGAACTGTGACCTCCATCCACCAACGACTAAGTAGGTAAGCCATCTAGGGAAGCAGATCTCCAGGCCCAGCTGTCCTGTTGACTAAACCTCAGCTGACATCTTGACTGCAATTACATAACAGATCCAGAGCTAGAACCATCCTGCTAAGCATTTCCCAGATTCCTGACCCTCAGAAACTGTATGAGATAATGTCTGTCCATTTGAGATTCTAAGTATTGGAATATTTTATTATACAGCAAGAAATAACTAATACAATACTTTCAAAGTAGCTCCCCGCAAAATACTTAATTACAAGTATTAATTACAAGGAAAAAAGAATACTTATCAATGAAGAAGCTTAGAGAACACCACTTTAATTTTATTTTTTATCTTCACCCAAGGATACTTTTTTCACTGCTTTTACAGAGGTGGGAGAGGGGAGAGAGAGAAACACTGGTGCAAGAGAGAAATATCCATCAGTTGCCTCCCATACGTGCTACAACCAGGAGGAAGCCACAACATAGGTATGTGCCCTGACGGGATCGAACCAGCAACCTTTCAATTTATGGGACAATGCTTCAACCAACTGAGCCACACTAGCCAAGGCAGAGACCACCACTTAAATCAAGTGATCAAAGTGAACATAATCAGTAACAAGGAAGCCAAACTTGTATACTACTTCCTTGCTAAAGATGCAGAGCCTGAATCAAATAACCGTCCTATAATCCACAAGAATGTCAGGGTTGCAAGCATGAAAGAAAGACTGAAGGGCCATGCCAGACTAAAAGAGAGAAACTAGAAAGACATGACAACTAAATACTACAGATGATTCTCAACTAAGAATTATTGTGAAAACTGTTGATATTGCATGTGGTCTTAGTATTAGATGACATTAATCTATCAATGTTAATTTTCCAATTTTGATAGTTGCATTGTGTCCTAATTTATAGAAAATAGACACTTAAGTATTCAGAGGTGATGAGGCATCACGTTTCCAACTTAAAATCAAATGGTTCAGGCAAAAAAGTCTTCTGTAATGCACTTACCAGTTTTCTGTAAATTTGTGATTATTTCAAAATTTTATATATAATATATAACTTTAAATATATTTTTTTCTATTTTAAATGCATGTATACAGTTGTCCCTCTACATTGATAGGGGGTAGAATCCATGACCCCTGCAGATACTAAAGTCCATAGATGATCAAGTCCATTACATAAAATAGCATAGTATTTGCATGTCACCTATGCATACGCTCTCACATACTTTAAATTATCTCCAGATTACTTATAATACCTAATATAAATTCCATGTAAATAGTTGTTAGAGCATATTGTTTAGGATTTAATGAAAGGAAGTCTAAACATGTTCAGGACAGATGCAATCATCATAGGCCTAACTATATAGTACTAATCAGCAACAACGTAACTTTTTTTAAAAAGGCAAAAGATTTGTGCAATTGGAACAGAAACCAGAGTGTTACAACATAACATTTAAAAAATATATTTTTGATCCACAGTTAAGGGGAAGGATAAAGGGGACATGTAATTTACATGCCTCTTGCTTTGTGAAGAACTGACAGTAAGTCAGTGAATAATCATGAAGTGAAATGTACTGGACTCTAAGCAAGAGAGTATCAGTCTCTTTTGAAGAAAACTGTCCCTGAATTCCAAGCTCAACTTAAAAACTAAATGAGAATACTATTTCTGTGATCAACAGAAAGATAAAAACCAAAGGCATGGTCCCTGAAGCAGTAGTTTAAAGAGTCTTGACCTGGTAAAAGGAGGGAAACTGGCCCCTACATTCAACTGCATCTGTCTTTCAACTTCAAACATCTTTCCAGGTCTGTCCTTTGCTCAAGCTCAGTCTTTTTTTTTTTAAATATATTTTATTGATTATGCCATTATAGTTGTTCTATTCCCCCCCTTCATTCCCCTCCACCCTATGCACCCCCTCCCCCACCATTCCCCCCCCTTTAGTTTATGACCACGTGTCTCAAGTTCTTTAGATTCTATATCTCCCCTACTATTATTGCCCTCCCCCCATCTATTTTCTACCTACCATCTATGCTACTTATTTTCTGTACCTTCTCCCCCCTTCTCCTTCTCCCACTCCCGTTGCCAACCCTCCTTGTGATCTTTATTTCTATGGTTCTGCTCCTGATCTAGCTATCCTCTTAGTTTTTGTTTTAGGTGTGGTTGTTAAGAACTGTGAGTTTGCTGTCCTTTCACTGTTCATCTTTTTTATCTTCTTTTTCTTAGATAAGTCCCTTTAATATTTTATATAATAAGGGCTTGGAGATGATGAACTCCTTGAACTTGACCTTATCTGAGAAGCACTTTATCTGCCCTTCCATTCTAAATGAAAGCTTTGCTGGGTAGAGCAATGTTGGGTGTAGGTCTTTGGATTTCATGACTTGGAATACTTCTTTCCAGCCCCTTCTTGCCTGTAAGGTCTCTTTTGAGAAATCAGCTGACAGTCTGATGGGAACTCCTTTGTAGGTGACTGTCCCCTTATCTCTTGCTGCTTCTAGGATTCTCTCCTTCATTTTCATCTTGGCTAATGTAATGATGATGTGCCTTGGTGTGTTCCTTCTTGGGTCCAACTTCTTTGGGACTCTCTGAGCTTCCTGGATTTCCTGCAAGTCTATTTCCTTTGCCAGATTGGGGAAATTCTCCTTTATTATTTGTTCAAATAAGTTTTCCACTGATGGCTGTTCCTCTTCCCCTTCTGGCACCCCTATAATTCTGATGTTGGAACATTTAAAGATGTCCTGGAGGATCCTAAGCCTCTCCTCGTTTTTTTTGAATTCTTGTTTCTTTATCCTTTTCTGTTTGGTCTTCTTTTCCCTCTTTTTGGTCCACTCCTTTGATTTGAGTCCCAGTTTCCTTTCCATCACTATTGGTTTCCTGTGCATTTCCCTTCATTTCGATTAGTTTAGCCTTCATATGTTCCTCTAATTTGTGACTAAAATCAACCAGTTCTGTGAGCATCCTGATCACTGGTGTTTTGAACTGTGCATCTGAAAGTTTGGCTATTTCTTCCTTGCTTAGATTTATTGGCTCTGGGGCTCTGAGTTGTTCTTGAGCCATGTTTTGATCTGTTCATGCCTGTTAGGTATGAGGAGCGGAGCCTTAGATGGTCACCAGGGCGGGGCCACCCAGGTCGCTGGTTTGTGATGCTGTAGGTGGGGGTGGGGTCAAAGAGGGACAATTGCGGTCCCCTCTGCCGCTTCCTGCCACTGGGGCCTGCATGGTCTGTCTCCCTGCTCCCTCCTTCACCAGTTTATCAGTTTGGCTGAAGGGTTCGTTGTTGTCAGACATCCGTGAAGTTCAATTTTCTGTGGTTTTGGCTGCGTTTTTGTTGCTAAAACTTTGTTGTTTTTAAACTTGGTTGTGGGAGGAGGCACAGTGCTCCCACCTATGCCTCCATCTTGGCGGAAGTCCTCAAGCTCAGTCTTGATATAAAACTATTACCTTCAATATAACTGATAACCATTTAAACTCTCATTTACACTAACAAAGGTAAAATGTAAGCTCTACCTACACAAAGTAATATTGTCATGGATAAAGCATTAATCCATTATCAGAGATTATGGTAAATGCTTGGCATGGTACTCTCGCTGTGTAAGGTTATTATTCTTCAAAGTTTGGTTTTCTCACCTCTTGAATTTGAATAACAAAAATTAAACAATTTTTAATTGTTAAGAACGTACTAACTTGTTCTTCTAAAAAAAAAAATAACATGTACTTCATATTCACCAGAAAAGACACATACTCTTCAAAGGTGTTAGTGGTGGAATTAATTACTACAAAAGCAAAGATGACTGATGATAAAAAAGAATTAAGACTTTTATATACTTAGTAGTTCAAAAGAAAATATGTCTGGTAACTAAATTCTATATTAACTTTGCCAGTTACTCAGTTTATTCCTTAATGAATTAAGTATCAAAACTATGAATAGTATGAATCCCTCTTAGTACATATTTCCTGTTATTTTCATTTATTTGGAGGACACTTCCCATTTTCATCGTAAGAATGCTACACTTATTTTTTTAAGAAAATTAATTTTTTAAGATTTATAGCTTATATAGAGTAAAATTCACCCTTACCAAAGATACAGAAGTTCCATGACCCCCCCCAAATTTTCCCATCCCTTTTGTAGTCCATTTCCCTCTCCCACTCCCAGGCAGCCATTAACCTGATTTCTATCTCAATAGTTTTGCCTTTTCTAGAACACTGTATAAATGTACACATTCAGTAAGTAGCTCTCTAAAATCTAGCTTTTTTCACTAAACATAATGCTCCTGAGAATCATCCATGTTGCTGACTACATCAATACTTCATTCCTTTTTTTAACTGCTGAGTAGTAGTCCATGCACATGCATATATCTCATTTTGTTTATCCATTTACCAGTGTTAGGCTGGTATATAAAGGCACTATAAACATTTGCACAGAGGTCTTTGTATAAATATGTTTTAATTTTTATTGAGTAAATACATAAAAGTGGGATTACTGGGCTGTACTAGGGTCAGTATATAAAACAAATCTAGCATATAAAATTAATCAGTCTTTGAAGCAGTAGTCCACTCAGTTTGAAGGTCACACACTCATACTCACACATAAAACCCACATATAAAATAAATCTAACCAAAACCCATTTGTCCCTGGCCAGGTAGCTTCGCTGGTTAGAGTGTTGTCCCAATATACCTAGGTTGTGGGTTTGATCCCCAGTTAGGGCACATACAAGAATCAACCAATTAATGCATAGATAAGTGGAACAAATTGAAGTTTCTCTCTCTCTCTTTTTCTCCCCCATCCTTCTTTCTCTAAAATCAGTTAAAAATAAAAACCTATTCAAAGTCTTTCACATCACTGCTGATTACACATATTAGTATTTAGTAATTGCTTGTTTATAACAGTGGTTTCTCAAGTTGTTTCTCTACATGTGAGAACCGCCCAGGAGCTAGAACTTGGGCACCAACCCAAAGATTCTTATTTAGCCGCTCTGTGTAAGGCATAAACATCAGTACTTTTTCCTTCTTTCTTTTCTAACTGCTAGATCATATTTTTTCTTATTTTGCATTTTGAAAAGTTTCAAACATACAGAAAAATAAAGATAATAGTATAAGAACCACTTTATGCATATCACCTAGTGTTGACAATATTTTGGCATTTTTACTTCAATTATTTTTTCTTACTGAAGTACTTTAAAACACAAACTTCATATTTCACCTCGAAATACTTTAAAACGCATCTCCAAAAAAAATAAGTGCACTTTTTTTACATCATTACAATACCATTCTCACATCAACCCAAAACAATTTGTTTCTACTATGTAATATATCCCAATCCATATCCAAATTTTCCTAACATGCAGTCATGGACAAACCACTGATTTATAACATGTGAAACATAATGATTATTTTCTTTTAATTTTTTCCAGATTTCATATAAGAACATTCATTTTCTAAAGAAATTAACATCACAAAGCAAATGAGAAAAGACAATTAAAATTTTTTACTCTTTACCTGAAAAGATCTACCTCATGAACAGTAGGTAAAATAACAGATATTTGTGTGTCTGCCTAAGAGATAGAAAAGAAAAAATAGAGATGTCACTAAAATTTACAGAAATTGATTTTTAAAATATGGCTATTTATCTCATGATCAATTAGCATATTGCCCTATCTTATAAGATTCTCTTCCTCAAAGAGAAGCCATGAAAGAATGTGTCTTAACCAATCTCTCCCAACACAGCAGAAGGTCAAGGAAACACAAATTCCATGGTTAAAGCATTAACTCAACAGTCAGATTAATTCACAACTATATGAAATGGTAACATAATACTGGTTGATATATGTAACAGGCAAAATTAGCTTTCCTTCTGCTCTCCATTTTATTTAATTCAAAGAACAATGGGAGTCCTGTTTCAAATGAAAAATTCAACGCCACTCATAAACAGATGTAGTTAGGGGGAAAATGAAAGGCAATCATAACTACAGAATCCTTTTGACTAAGCTTCCTGAAAACAGAAGACTGCTGACCATTCTTTAAGAGGCTTCATTAGAATTAAATCTTGTTTAAAAATAATATTTACTTTCCCCTTGTCCTCACAATCACAGTATAAATTCTGAGTTCTTGACAGTATCTACTAGGGAAAAAACAAGAAAAATATCTCAGAAACATCAGGAAGTTTATTATCAATTCATTTATAAACTTGTATTAGGATATTTCAGTAATATTCAGAAGTGTATCATAAACCCAAGAAACTGTATTTGCTAGTTTAAAATTTCTGTTATAGAGACTCTATGTGCTGAATTATTCTATCACAGTACCACACTACCTGTTGAGTTAACTGCGCTATTTGAGTTGTCCCAGGTTTGTCATGACATGTGGGAATCCGTACCTTAAAGAGAAAAAAGAAATTAACTTGGGCAACAAAAGAATGAATGTCCTTTCTTTAATTTTCCAGTCCCACTTCAATGACGGAGCAGAGTGCTCTATCCTGCTGCTAAAAAGGTATACTCAGCAATGCCTAAAAACCCATAAAAACAAAGTATTTATGTCAGATTTAAAAATAAAGTCATACTTATTCTCAGTCACAGCAGAAGTAAGTGAACCAAGGTCTCTACACTCCCATACATACAGAAATCACTAATTCAATGAGAAGCAAATGTGCTGAAAAACATAAAAAAGGACATCAACTTCGTACCACTTCCTGTTTATTATTCCAATATTTGCTTCATTAATATACAAAGCCAAACACACCCTCTCAAGCTTTGCAAACTATGGGATAAATATCATAGAAAACCATGAGAACTCTGAACCCAGAACTGTAAGTACTGCTTTTGATGATTTCTAAGGGAAAACAAAACACAGCTCCTACAGAAATAAACACATCTAAAGAGACAGCATTGCCAAAAATAAGTCCGACATGAAAATGAATTACAAAAGCACTCAGATCACACTCATACAAAGCCCGAGAGCAAAATGCTGATTTACTTTTAAAAATGAAAGAAAGAAACTTAATAGAGAGCAATACCCTAGGATGGACATGTTCAGTCTGACATTACATGTTAAGATCATTTAAGACTAAAAACCAATGGCTTTCCTAATTTCTTTTAATTTTAAGTAATTCATACTTGATTCTACACATTTTGCAATACCATTCATCTCTGAGGGCCATGGCGTAGAAGAATTTTAGGTGGCATTTACATTCACATGCATTATATAAGAATGAACCCCTTATGCAAATCCTACAGGATGATGGGATTAGGGGCCCCTGGAGTTGTCTGACTAATGGTTCTATACAGCATGGTGAACTGTGGTATCTCTGTAACTCTTCACATAAAAGAAAAAACAAAACAAACCCCAGTGAAAGCAATAGCAGAACTGAATGTTATTAGGAAGTTAAAAAGCAAAACTCATGTGTGAAATGTCCTAGAGATCTTTTAAAAAGGAGACAAATGAAATATAAGCTACTACCTTCATTACCACCCCCATAATAGGCAAGTATAATGTCTTCCCTGGCACTGGGGCAGGCCATCGATCGACATCATTACAAGCTGAAAAAAAACAAAATAAAATACTTCCTTAGTATAAACAGAAATATGAAAAATAGCATATTAGAAATTAAAACTCTACTTTCCACAGAGCAGGAAAAACATACCAGGAAGGATGGAAGATAAAAAGTAAAGTAATACAAATACCTTACACTTCACCAGAAATACACCTATTTTAGGATATAAATTGGTCAATAAATTTGTTAAAGCAATAAAATAATTGGTTTAAAGAAGTTTTTCTGTTCATTTATTACTACTAAAACTAGCTGCAAAAGCACACCATCTGGCAGAGACCTCTCTGTATTAAGTAACATAAGAGCTCCTATTCAATAGTACTGAGTCAACTCAGTATTCATTTATTATTAGCCTATGATACAAAAGGAGATAATAAATGATAGTCATTGGTATGTCTAGGAAAAGACATCTCTCTCCCACCCTAAAATTCTTAACTAATTTTTAGGTCAATTTTTATCAGATCATTTACAGTAAAAACTTTAAAACTCTTTCATAAAGGCACTTAAATCACACAATGTTGAACTTACCTGCTTCCAAATAAGGTTTGCTCTTTTCAAAATACTCTGGTGCAATCTGTTTGAGTACAGTGTGAAAAAAATGAATATATGGTAGTTTGCTGATCAAAACCAAGGACTGGAGGGAAAAAAAAACAATGTTTTTTAAAATTCCCTAATGATTATAATTTAAGTTTGTCATTTCTTACATTATCAATTACTAACAAGCTAAACTCAGCAAAAAGTATGGATTTTGAAACACAAAGGCTTTTCCAGTAGACGGTTTAAAGGAAACATAAAACTACAGTTGCAGAATGCAAAAAGTTTTAACTTACTACTATACTTTAAGAACATAAAAGCATATTCACAGAAATGCATTTTCCAGAAAAAAGAATTTACTATAAACAGAATATTATTACAGATAATTTCCAAAGCCTAGCTCTTATTGTTGTTAGCAAAAGAGAAATTAGCTAGGTGAACTTGTTGTTTTCAGAAAAGGTCAAAAGTGATGCTTTTTCAAATTAAGACTTATGACTATTTTTTTAATTGAATTTATTGCAGTGACTTTGGTTAATAAAATTATAGAGGTTTTTATTTAAAGTATGTTTTATTGACTATGCTATTACAGCTGTGCCATCTTTTCCCTCTTTAGCAGCCAACCCACTCCTTCGGGTGATCCCCACACCACTGTCCATGTGCATGGGTCATGCTTGTATGTTGTCTGGAACTTTACATCCCATGACTATTCTGTAACTATCAATTTGTGCTTCTTAATTTCTTTACCTTTTTTGCCCTGATCTTCCTAGCCCCCCTCCCATCTGGCAACCATCAAAATATTCTCTGCATCAGAGTTCTGGCCAAGATGGAGGCATAGGTAGAAACTCTTTGCTTCCTCGCACAACCAAGAGGAGGATAACCACCAATCTAAAATCAATAAATAAGCAAAACCGCCAGAAAAATCACACTGCATGGAACTCCAACAACCAAGGAATTAAAGAAAAAATCAACCAGAACAATCAGACTGGCAAGGCAGATGAATCCCCCCCACTCAGAAAAGCCCCAGTGAGGCGGCTGGGGGGCGGGGCTAACTGCCAGCTGTGCAAAGCTGCAAGGAAGGAACTGACTTAAGGGGAAAACCAAGACTCAGAGCTGACTGTGGGCTAAGGCTAGGGTTGCCTGGGTGGGAGATACTTCCAGTGTAATGAAGAATCTGTTGGAAAGTGTGCTAGAGAAAAGCAGGCAAGCTGCATTGTTCCCTATATGGCCCCTCCCCCACATGCAGTGCAGCAAAGAGGGTTACCCTGCCAGGGTGAATACCTAAAGCCCCGCCCCCTTACAACCTATCAGCTGCGCCAAGACAAAGAAATATGGCCCAAATGAAAGACCACAGCAAAACCTCAGAAAGAAAACTAAGCGATGAGGAGACTGCCAACCTAACTGATGAAGAATTTAAAGCCCTGGTAATTAAAATGCTTACAGAACTGATTAAACTTGGTCAAAGAATGAAAGAACAAATGAAACAAAGCAAAATATTCAGAGAACCAACAGTGACAAGAAGGAAACCAGTATTCGAAGCAACGATTTGGAACATAAGGAAGAAATAAATATCCAACTGGATCAGAATGAAGAAACAAGAATCCAAAAAAATGAAAAGAGGCTGAGAATTCCCTGGTACAATCTGAAACGTTCCAATATCCGAATTATAGGGGTGCCAGAGGAGCAGAACAGCAGCAAGAAATTGAAAACTTATTTGAAAAAATGAAGGAAAATTTCCCCAATCTGGCAAAGGAAATAGACTTCCAAGAAGTCCAGGAAGCCCAGAGAGTCCCAAAGAAGTTGGGCCCAAAGAGGAACACACCAAGGCACATCATTAAATTACCCAAGATTAAAGACAAAGAGAAAATCCTAAAAGCAGCAAGAGATAAGGAGAGTTGCCTACAAAGGAGTTCCCATCAGACTGTCAGCTCATTTCTCAGAAGAGACCTTACAGGCAAGAAGGAGCTAGAAAGAAGTATTCCAAGTCATGAAAGGGAAGGACCTACATCCAAGATTGCTCTATCCAGCAAAGCTTTCATTTAGAATGGAAGGGCAGATAAAGTGCTTCCCAGATAAGGTCAAGTTAAAGGAGTTCATCATCACCAAGCCCTTATTATATGAAACATTAAAAGGACTTATCTAAGAAAAATATAAAAAATATGAACAAAATGACAACAAACTCACAACTATCAACAAATGAACCTAAATAAAACCCAACAATGAAAACAAAAACTAAGCAAACAACCAGAACAGGAACAGAACCATAGAAATGGACATCACACAGAAGGAGTTCAATGGGGAGGGAAAAGGGAGGAATAGCGGGGAAAAGGCACAGGGAAGAAGAAGCCTATTTAGTAGGCATAGAATTGATAGAGAGAAATAAAAAATGGTATAGGAAACAGAGGACTCAAAGAACTTACATGTATATCCCATGGACATGAACTAAAGGGGGGATGCTGGAAGATTGGGGGGCAGGGTGGAGGGAAGATAAAGGGGAAAAACTGGGAAAACTGTAATAGCATAATTAATAAAAATACTTAAAAATATTCTCTGCATCTATGATTCTGTATCTGTTCTGCTTATCTGCTATTTATTTATGATTCAATTGTTGACAGATATACATTTACTGCCATTTTATTATATATTTTTTTATCTTCATTTTCTTTAATAAGTCCCTTTAACATTTATATAATAATGGTTTGGTGGTTTTGAATCTCTTTCAGTTTTTTCCTAGTCTGGAAAGTTCTTTACCTGCCCTTGGAATCTCAATGATAGCTTTACTGGGTAATCTTGGTTGTAGGTCCTTGCATTTCATCACTTTGTATTTTTCTGCCAATCCCTTCTAGTCTGCTAAGTTTCTTTTCAGAATTCAGCTGACACTGACGGAAACTCTTTGTAGGTAACTAATGGCTTTTCTCTTTATGCTTTTAACACTGTTTGTCTTTAACCTTTGGCGTTTTAATCATGGTGAGTCTTGGTGTGGGCCTCTTTGAATTCACCTTATTTGGGACTCTCTGTGCTTCCTGGACTTGCATGTCTATTTCCCCCACCAAATTAAGAAGGTTTTTTTCTTTATTTTTTCAAATAGGTTTTCAATTTCTTGCTCTCTTCCCAGGACCCCCATGATGAGAATTTTAAATTGTCCCAAAGGCTCCTTACAATACCCTCATTTTTGTGTGTGTTTCTTTTTTCTTCTCACTGTTCTGATTGGGTGTTTTTTGCTTTCTTACATTCTAAATTGCTGATTTGAATCTCAGCATCATCCACTCTGCTGATTCCCTGTAAGTTGTTCTTCATTTCAGTCACTGTAGCCTTCATTTCTGACTGGTTATATTTTATGGTTTCCATGTCTTTCATGCTGTTGAAGTTCTCTGAGTTCATCTGCTCTTCCCCCAAGTTTATTGAGACTCCTTATAACCAGCATCTGAACTCTGTATCTAGTAGATTGCTTGTCTCTATTTTGTTTAGTTCTTTTTCTGGAGTTTTGTTCTGTTTTCATTTGGGCCATGTTTCTTTTGTCTTTTCTTTTTGGCAGCCTCAATGTGTTTGTTTCTATGTATTAGGTAGAGTGGCTACAACTCCCTGTCTTGGTAGAGTGGCCTAATGTAGTAGGTGCTCTGTGGGGTTCAGTGGCACAGCTTCCCATATCACCCAAGCTGGGTACTCGAGGTACATCCAGCTTTCGGACTGTGTATACCCTCCTCTTGTAGTTGAGCCTTGATTGCTGTTGGCAGTTCAGTGGGAGGGATTTATTCAGGCCTATCAGCTATAAGTACTGGCTGTGACCACGACCACCCTCTGACCACTGTCAAGGATCAACTGTGCAAGGGTCCACTCCGCAGAGCAGAACTTACTTCTTCAGGGCTCTAGTGCCTACTGAGTCTCCACCTTGAATGTGTCCCTTGTGGAGGTGGTTGAGTGGTGGTACTCTGTCATGATCTGTAGCTGTCCACTGGGGTTGCAGGCTCTGGGGCTTCTTGGGAGCCATTACCTGTGTCTTATCTGAGGCTACCTGGCATAAGCTACAAAGTTATCTGCAGATGGCTTCTACTTGTGCTGGGCTTGGAGATACCCAAGGTAGGCCAAGCAGTGAACCAAGGGCAGCTGCTGCTAGTTCCAGGCCTGGGGTTATTTATAACAATGTACCAAGCTCGCTGAGGGTAGATGCTGCTTGTTTGAGAAGATTTAGGAAAATCTGAAGCAAAAACCAAGAAAAGTTATTCATAGGAGAAAGCCAATAAAAACAGCTTGGGTGGGCCCCATAGTTGGGTGGGGCAGAGCCTCAGAGAATCACCAAGGTGGGGCAAACAGGTTGATGGAGTCCGGGATGGTGCCTACCTGCCAGCTCTGTGGGGGGAAGGCTCAGAAAAGAAAAATGGGTCTGCCAGCAGTTCTTTCTGGGAGAAAGCTGCCCCCTCGCTCTTGCCCTGGTCCCAGACACTTAAGTTCCTCCCCATATGCCTCTAGTGTCTTTAAAGCTGCTGCCCTGTTGCTAGAGCTCAGAGGGAATGAATCTTGAGTAATTCTGTGCATGAGCCCTTTAAGAGGAGCTCTGGGAATCCAAGTTTTTGTCTTCCATAGCCTCAATACCCACTGGTTTTTACAGTCGGAAGTTATAGGGACTTATCTTTCTGGCACTTGAATCCTGAGCTGGGGGGCCTGTTGTAGGGCTGGAACCCTTAGCTCCTAAGGGAGCTTAGGATATACTTAGGAAGTATATCCTAAGATATACTTCCTAATTTCCATCCACCACATGTGGATATGAGACCACTTGTTCTTTGTCTCCACCCATCCCTCCAGTCTCAATGTGGTTTCTTCTTTAATTCTGTAGTTGAATTATACTCCCACTCAAGCTTGATTTCTGGCATTTCTGAATAATGGTTTTCCCCTGGTTTAGTTGTTAATTTTGATGTGGTTGTGCAAAGGTGCAAGCCTTGTTTACCTAGGCCACCATCTTAGCTTTCTCCCTTATGGAATATTTTTTAAAATTATATAGGTTTCACCCTGGCTGGGTGGCTCAGGTGGTTAGAGCATCATCATATACACCAATACAGTTGTGGGTTCAATTCCCGGTCAGGGCACATACCTAGGTTGTAGTTTCAATACCCAGTTGGGGGTCATACAGGAGGCAACCAATGGATGTTTCTCTCTCACAGTGACGTTTCTCTCTCTCTAATCAATAAACATACCCTTGGGTGAGGATTTAAAATTTTTTTAATTATACAGGTTTAAAGGGTACAATTCGATAAATACAGTATCTGTTTATTGTATTGTGTACTTACCATCCCAAGTCAAGTTTCCTTCCATCACCATTTATCTCCACTTTTCCCTCTCTTACCTGCCCCCCAGAATTTTAGAGTTCAATGGTGATAGCCACATACTTAGAAATTGTGACTTTATAGTTTAATCACTTTAGATATAAAATTGAATCTTATTTTTTAATCTATTTTCTTGAAAACTATTTTCTACCTTTCTATCCAGCACCAATTACTGGTCAGGGCATATTCTGGTTACGAAAGGTAAAAGTATGTCCCATTAGCTGGGAACGAATTGAAATCAACTAAACTTTTTTAAGAAAATAAAAGATTGTACATTTAGAGTAAAAACTATGTCTAAGATATTGCTGAGATATGCTTACTGACTCTTCAAAAAATATACCACAGGTTTTTATTAGTTGTAACTATATTATACTGTTTATTCTTTCCCTGATTCTAAAATTAAGCAGATTCTTATGACTTTTGATGGTTTCATAAAAAAGTATAACTTATTGTCAGGAATCTAGTACAGAGATAGCAGAAATGTAAAGTTCCATAGCAGGTAAAAATCTAGGAATAGGTTTCTATAAATCTAAAAAAATAAAAATAAAATATAAATTCTAATATATTTAACAATAAAATATCAGAGGCTTCAAAGACTATTCATTCTAACAGTTTCTATCTTTCTAACCACAATATAAAAATATTTTTCTATTATAGTATCTATGAAAATTACCTTCTGAAAGTAGCCTCTTTTTAGAGTTTTGTCTCGAACTTGTCGGAAATACACATATCCATAAAAATAAGCAGGATCCTTCTATAAAAAAGTGACAAATAAAAAATTATATATATAGCCATTCTTTATTATTATTAGGTTCCCTTATAAACCTGAACAGAGTCATGAGGTATACACAAAGAGCTAGTTATGCTTTTCTAACCAAAACAAACAATAACCATGGCAATAAAAGCCAGATATTCCTAACTTGCACAAAGATGAAATGATCATACTAAAGTCATGTTTTCCCTCTATAACTTACTATGCTTATGTTCTTTATTCATATCTGTACTAGTTAAAGGGAATTAGGAAACAATCAAATTGTTTTTCCCCAATGTCTTATATAAGTTTTACTTAAAGTAGTGCCCAAACTTTGTCAGTCTTAACAAAATGAGGTATCCTAATATAAAATTTCAAGAGAAAATAAAAGGAGTTACATGCCAATCTGAATCTTACATAGCTAGTTACATTTTTACCCAATAATAATAAAATACTAGAATGTTTATCAACATGCACTTTGAAAGATGATTACAGTCCAAAAAATTTAAGAACTTTTAACAGCCTAATAGAACAAATTATAGCCCAGTTCCTTATTTATTATTCTTTAAATAAATACTTATTGACCACCTTCTTTGAACAAGGTATTGTGTTAGAGAAGACAGAAAGATGCATAAGATACAGTTCCTTAAGGAGATCACAATATGAGGAAAAAGTACAAAAATGACCATTATGAAATAGGAACGCAGGTACCATGAAAAAAGGACAAAGTGTTACAGAGAGGCCAAAGGGGAAGAGATTACCTCTATGTGGCTCAGTAAAGATTTCATGGAGATAGCTGATTTTGAATTGGGCATTGAAGGATGTATATGATTTAAACAAAGACAAAGACATTCCAGGTTTAGAGGCTTAGGAGTTTCAGCAAAAACACAGAGACACAAAAAAATTACAAGCTATCCCAGGAAAAAGCAAGATAAAAGTAGTTCTTTTGGCTAAAATATGACACATGTATAGAAAGGGTATGAAGTTGGAAACTGGAAAGGATAGAAAGGGTATGAAGTTGGAAACTGGAAAGGATAGAAAGGGTATGAAGTTGGAAACTGGAAAGGTAAAGGCCTTATTTTGGAAGGCCCAAAAAGTAAGGACAAGGAAACAGCAATGATAATTAGCTTTTTATTCATTAAATAATAGGTAGTCATTTTAGATTTGATTTACCTTTAGGTAATATGTATGTACACTTTGGCTGGCAACACTGAGTAAAATGTACTGCACTGGAATGTCTTTGGGCAAATTTCATAACCTCAACAGCCCTTAATTCCCTCAACTGTAAGAGGAATGCTCTCAGAGCAATACTGGGAAGACTAATGAGATAATATATGCTCATTAATACAGTGCCTAGAATATAAAAAATTCTAATAAATGTAGCTATTATTATCATCAGTTGAAACAATATGTTAATAGTGATAGTAAAATGACATGGAAAGGAGTAGATGGCTACAACAGATATTTCAAAGGTAATACCTTTGCTAAGTAGAAGTGGGTTCCTGTAATTAGTGGAATCATATAGGTAAACTGTAAATGCTGATTTTAAGCAAACTATGTCAAGTTCATATTGAATGTCTGATAGGACATTCTGATGAAAATATTCTTCATGCACACTACAAAATAGAAACCTACACTCTGAAATCATCTGAATCATTAAAAGTATTTTTAATAAATAGTAAGTAGAAAACAAAGCTTATTAAAAAATCAAAAAGAGAACTATAATTCTACCATAAAGTAGGTAGGAATTACCACAGGGAATCTTTGACTCTGGATGATAACAACTGGTATAGTACAACCCTACCTCCACATCTGAACAAAGAGTTATTCACAAATGAAAGAAATCAATTTCTATAATTCACAATGGGCATTATGTTTCAAGAACAGTAACTTTATAAAGTCTCTTTCATTCATACACTGAATCTTTATGAATCAGACTCAGGGAATCTATTCAGTGTGATATACTGACAAAACAAAAACTAAATATTTCTGAAGGCTGTAATAAGTTAACTGACTTTTAAACTTTCCTCTCACATGGACATTCTTCTATTACTACTTTTCCAACCTTTAAGTAAACTGGTAAATCTTTGTCAAATTGATCCAGGAAACAATGCAGTGACACCCTTCTGCCAGAAGACTGTCGAAATCTAAAACAAAACTGGGTATCTCCAAGACAACCTAATGAAAACAAAAATAAAAGAAATTAAGGATAGCACAGTGTAACACTTATTTATCCAGTTTCATCAAATGTTAGAGTGGCAGGGGTCCTAGAAACCATTTACATCCATTCTGTCATGTTTTAGAAAAGAAAAAGGAGATCATGAGAGTCCAAGTGACTTGCTCAAAGTCATCTTCACTGGTTAGACACAAAGCCATTAGTAAAACATGCATTTGAACTCTTAAGTACCTCTATTATTTTTCCTATTCCATTTTCCCCATGTAAGTAAATTTTTTAAAAAACTGTTTGTATGTAATGCAGACTCACAGTATAATAATGAGCAAAAGAAGCCAAGTACAAAATAATACATGTTGTTCAAATTCATTTATATAGTTGTTTATTAAAAAAACAGGTAAAACTATAGTGTTTAGGGGTACATGGTTGGGTAATAAAACTATAAAAGTAGTAAGCAGGAAACTTACTACTATAAGAACTAGGGTAGTGGTGGTTACATTTAGGAGGGGACCTGAGGGGGCCTTTTGGAGCTTTATATGTTTTGTATTTCACAATGAGACTTTTTAAAATGACTTTATTCATATCTTTTTTAGAGAGAGGAGAAGGGAGACAGAAAGAAAGGGAAAGAAACATCAATGTGCATGAGACGTATCAATTGGCTGCCTTGCACATGCCCCCAACCAAGGACTTGGCCCACAACACAGGCATGTACCTTGACCAGGAATCGAACCAGCAACCTTTTGGTTTGCAGGATGACACCCAATCTACTGAGCCACACCACGCAGGGTCACAATGAGACTTTTTAAAACAAGACATCCTAATGGAAGAGGCCAATGATAAACTTACTATTTTAATCATTTTAATTAAAAATAAACTTTTAACCTTTAATCATTTTAGCAAAACACTTGAAACATGTAAACTTTACCTAAACTGTCAGGCAATAATTACAAAAAACTGTGAATACTATAAAAAGTAAAAGACACATGACATAGCTTGTCACTCAAATTTTTCCTGCTTATTATATTTAAAATTAGTAAGATATTATTAACTATAAAATGTACTCAGGATTTTATTATTACTTATTATTATGCACAGAAGTACTTTAGCACATGAAGTTTTCAACAAAGGAAGTACAAACTTGATAGTATGTTTAGGTTTTTTAAAAAGCAACTCAGTATGTATACCTAAATTCAATTACAGAAACTAATATATCTTTGGTGGTGCAGGGAAGAACAAAGGAAACTAGAGGTGGCTCATCTCAGTTTCTTTACTTTTTAAAGCAGATAGCTTAAAAACAAGGAAAACAATTGAAACCTGAAAAAAATACTTCTAGCATTGTTTTAGTTCAACAGATGTGTATGATGATGATTTAGTTTTTCTTTTTAGAAACACTGTCTTTTAAAAAATCAACTGAGAAGTACAAATGAATTTCTCTGAGACATTAAGATAGAACAGGAAAGTGCAATGGATTTTAAGAAAGAAATATTGTAGCATTTGGAAAATGCAAGGAATGCTAAGCTTTGTGGAAGGGAACTAATGAAGCTCCCTTAGCCTTAAAATCCCTACCCACCTGGCTCCATTCTGAAATCATGGTCATACTGTGAGAACTTTCCAGTGACCAGCTGCACCCACAAGCTGTAAAGAATTAGTCAAGAAGCTAGTTGAGCAGGGCAAAAAGGCTTTAATAGAGTGCCTGTGAATTGAGGTAAATGGTTCCCATTTTATGTTTTAATAATCTATCCATTCACGTATGAAAGATTATTAAAGAAGTATCAACTCCTAATCTGATTTTGTTGAGAACCTTTGTTCTCTATCCTGACCTCACCATTATTATCCATAGGCAAGGAGGCATTACAGACTGGCAACCAGACTTTTCACATTTGCCTTGCAGAAAATGATACTTTAGGGAAGAGCAATCCTCCCCACAAACTCATTATAAATAAATATATGTCAGTTTATCTACTAACAAATGACTGCAGTTCTACATATATAACATAATGATTACATGTGAAAGGTGGTTAAATGAGTGTGTTCTGCAGGAAAATGTTATGATCTGAGGAAAAAGAAGCCACAAGCAATGGGATCTAGTCCCAGGACCATCAATAATTAGCCTTCTAATTAATCTAAGGTTGTCAATTTTCCTAATTAACTTAAGGTTGTCAATTTTCTTAACAAAAAATAAGGGGTACCATAAGATCATCACTAAAAGTCACTTCCAGCCGTTATATTCAATGACTCTAAAATAAAAGTCTGTAAGAGATCTACAACTCTACTTAATTCCAAAAATCAAGTATCTTACCTAATATATGCACTAAGAAAACAAAAGATCTACAAAGCTTGAAATATACCTACAAGTTATACTGTGTGTTGCAGCTTTCTGACTAGCATAAAATTGGAATGACATTTTAATGGAAATGATTTCTTCTTTATATTAACCAAGGTATGAAGATTAATTTACACAAATTTTAAGATTAAATGACAGCTCTCTAAGGAAAATATACCTTACCATTAGTTCTTGATGAAGAGCAGCATAAATGCTTTCTCATGACAGTACCAAGTGTTAAGGCAACAGAAAATCTGCTCATTAAGACCCCACAGCTTTAGAAAAAAGTACTATTTAAATTAATCTAACACAATCTTTACTAGCCTAGAAAACCAAATAATGCAACCCTTTATTTTGGGGGTATCTCTAGTTTTTTAATTAATTAATAGCATGTTCACTTCACCATAGATTCATAAACATACTCCATTAAGTACATGTGCCAAAATATTATTAATCATTTTCCTTTGGTCAGTATAGAAGTAGTTTCCATTTTTCTTGTTGTTTTTTTTTTTCGTATTTTGTTGATTATGCCATTACAGTTGTCTCAATTTTTCCCCTTTGCCTATCCCACCCAGCACCACCCATTCCCTCTGGCAATCCTGCCTTAGAACTTACATGCATTTCCATAGGTCATGCATGTAAGTTCTTTGGCTTCTCCATCTCATATACTGTTCTTAACATCCCCCTCTCTATTCTATACCTACCAATTATGTTTCTTAATTCCTGCATCTTTTCCCCCATTCTTCCCTTCCCCCCCTCAACTGATAACCCTCCAAATGTGGGTTATCATATCTATATGGGTTATCATCTCCATATCTATGATTGTTGGTTTTGCTTGTTTGCTTAGTTTGTTCTTTAGATTCAATTGCTGATGGTTGTGAATTTATTGCTATTTTAAAATTTATAGTTTTGATCTTATTTTTCTTAAATAAGTCCATTTAACATTTCACATTATAATGGCCTGGTGATGATGAACTACTTTAGCTTTACCTTGTTTGCGAAGCACATTATCTCCCCTTCCATTTTATTTTTTTTAATTTTTATTTTTTTTATTGATTATGCCATTACATTTGCTCTATTCCCCCCTCCATTCCCCTCCACCCTGCATACCCCTCCCCCCATTTCCCCCTTTAGTTCATGCACACGTGTCTCAAATTCTTTAGATTCTGTATTTCCCCTACTATTCTTACCCTCCCCCTATCTATTTTCTATCTACTGTCTATGCTACTTATTTTCTGTACCTTATCCCCCCTTCTCCTCCTCCCACTCCCCTGTTGCTAACCCTCCATGAGATCTTCCATTTCTATGGTTCTGCTCCTGATCTAGCTGTCCTCTTAGTTTGCTTTTGTTTTAGGTGTGGTTGTTACTAACTGTGAGTTTGCTGTCCTTTCACTGTTCATCTTTTTTATCTTCTTTTTCTTAGGTAAGTCCCACTCCTTAAATTTGGTCTTATCTGAGAAGCACTTTATCTGTCCTTCCATTCTAAATGAAAACTTTGCTGGATAGAGCAATCTTGGTTGTAGGTCTTTGGATTTCATGACTTGGAATACCTCTTTCCAGACCCTTCTTGCCTGTAAGGTAAGGTCTCTTTTGAGAAATCTGCTGACAGTCTGATGGGAACTCCTTTGTAGGTGACTGTCCCCTTAGCTCTTGCTGCTTCTAGGATTCTCTCCTTCATTTTAATCTTGGCTAATGTAATGATGATGTGCCTTGGCGTGTTCCTTCTTGGGTCCAAGTTCTTTGGGACTCTCTGAGCTTCCTGGATTTCCTGGAAGTCTATTTCCTTTGCCAGATTGGGGAAATTCTCCTTTATTATTTGTGCAAATAAGTTTTCCACTGGTGGCTGTGCCTTTCCCCCTTCCGGTACCCCTATAATTCGGATGTTGGAACGTTTAAAGATGTCCTGGAGGTTCCTAAGCTTCTCCTCATTTTTCTGAATTCTTATTTCTTCATTCTTTTCTGTTTGATCATTTTTTTCTTCCTTCTGGTCCACTCCCTTGATTTGAGTCCCAATTGTCTTTCCATTACTATTGGTTTCCTTTGTATTACCATTCATTTCAATTAGTTTAGCTTCCATATGTTTCTCTAATTTGTGACTAAAATCAACCAGTTCTGTAAGGATCCTGATAACCAGTGTTTTGAACTGTGCATCTGAAAGACTGGCTATTTCTTCATCGCTTAGATCTATCGGTTCTGGGGCTCTGAGTTGTCCTAGAGCCATTTTTGGTCTATTCGTGCTGTTAAGTAAGCGGAGCCAAGCCTTAGTTGTTTACCGGGACGGGGCAACCCAGGTCGCTGGTTTGTGACGCTGTGTGTGGGGGCGTGGTCAGAGAAGGAGCAATGGCGGTCCTCTCCGCTAGCTCAGCCCGTCCAGTCACAGCACTCGCCCCGGGCTTGTTTATCCAATCGGATCGGAATTGTGCGAGCCTGCTGCCCCGTGCAGGCTTCCCTTCTCACTGGTTTCTCTGCACGCAGATGTGCGACCGACTGACAGACTGCAGACAGCCCACGCGCCTCTTCCCTGTGCACTCCCGTAGCTAGCTCGTGATCAGCGCCTTCGGCTGCTTGCGCTCCTCGCACCACCCGGGAATTTTTTCTTGCTAACCTGTTCCGCTGCTGGTTTCGCTTCTCTTACCGGTTTAGCTGAGCATTTAGATGTCTTTTGGACTCTGTATTGTCGAT